GACTGCTTTGTCAATTGTTTGGGCCGCTGCCAACGCTAGCATCAGACGCTGCTTGGCAATTTTGTTAATTACAAATCGTTTGCTTTTAGCTCTATGCTAATGTCTCTGTCTCTGTGCCTGTGCCTGTGTCTGGGCCTGGGCCTGGGCCTGTGCTTTCGGCTCAAGACAGTCGCTATATGTATACTCGTATGTATGTTTGATACCTTCATGTGTGTAAGTAAATATGTGCATGTGTGCGTGTGTCTATTTCATTTTGCATAACTTACGCAACTTCTTACCCAACACTGGAGGCAGGCATTCAACCAAACCGACAAATCTAAAAAACCAAACATCAAACTACTAGCATATGAATCGGGGTTGTTGTTTTATGTTCACATACATGCGATATTAAGATATGTCCGCATAGTATACATTTATTGTAAATGGCATTTATCGATATGTGGAAATACGTTTTGTGTATGAAGAGCCTTGAGAATAGTGTCCGGACATTAGAGTGCTGCATGAATTGACAGTTTATGGTTGAAGCAGGTTGTTCACTCACACATGATAATTCAGTTCATTGGTTTATATTTAGAATATAAACTTTTAATTAGCAATTTATGCAATTTCATTCATTTTTCTTTACATTGTATGTGTGCTTGAATGTTTATTGTTTGATCATTTGTTGATCACATTCGAGTCAAAGTTAAGTCATAATTTGATTTGTATTTTTTAAACATTTTAAACATTTTTTATGAATTCATTGAGTATATTACCTATATGGAGACTCACTTTTAACCGACTTATAAAAATGGAGGAGGTTCTTAAATCGACTGTATTAATGTTTTTTTTTTTTATTTAATTAGTTTCGAATCACTTATATTTCACAAACACGCCATTTATTCATTGATTCATTTCTCCATTTCGTAGTATGCATATGGGCTATAAATGAATAAATGAAAGAATATCTCATCAACTAAAACATCATTTATTTAAAATATCAGTTCCATCAACACCCGACAATAATCACTTAAAGCACTCAAGGACTAACTTACTATGAAATCTTGGCCATCATCTTCCAAGATATCTCATTTGTAGCAAGCTTTTATAACTACTAGGCAGGTGTTTTATAAATTCTAAATGGATTCTAAATTCAGAATGCTTGCAAAGCTCATGGGTTCTCATCCACTGCCACTGTTTTCCCACTGCTTGTCAAACTTCTAAAATACGTATACATATGTATGTGTGTGTATTTGTATGTCCGGTCCAGTCCGGTCCCCAGCTCTCGCGCGCTTGCCAACTTTGGCTACATTGGTCCATTGTGCGCCATTAAAAAATCGTGCAACAACACAAAAATGTAAATTTTCATAATTTCACAGTCAATACAAACTCTCTCTCTCTTTCCCTCTGCTCCTGCTCCTCTTACTTCTCGTCACCATCACCCTACTTCCTTGTGTGTTAAAAATGTTTAAACACTCTTCTCTCGGCACTGCCACAACTCATAGTTTGTTTGATTGTTGTAGTTCCTTTACACGTACGTATTATACAGACCCTGGCCACAGCTTCACAGCACGTCCTGCCACCCCTCCCCGTCCGCCCGCACTACTCTTCCCCATGCCATTCAGCACTCCTTCAGCTCTTCAGTCATCCATCCAGAGCCCTTGGCAAAGTTTTTGGCGCAAGGGTTGAAAATGATTTTGGTGCGCTGTCGAAAATCCAAAAGTTGATTTATCGTTTTAATATTTCTTCGCATGGCGAACACAACCAACAAATAAAATGGCACACAAAAATCTAAATGACAGTTTTTGAAGTGTAGTCGAGAGTTTAGTGCGGAAAGTCTGGGCATTGCTGAGCACACACCCACACACCCACACACACACTCATTACACACAGACCTACCCAACACTATATAAATATGCACAAAAATCAAGTCATCTATAATATTTGCCTAACAAGTTAACAGCGACAGGCGTTGCTAACAATAAGAGACTTCAGTTGTGGCTGCAACCGAAACTCTTGTGTATATATTTGTCTAAAAAAGTGTGCGACAGATGCCACAATGTTGCCAAATTTCACATTCGCTTTAATTAAGCTAGTGTTGGAGTCAAAAATTAAAGAATTACAGTAACTTCAGTAATCTGTTTTAATAAATCCATTCGAATACTTGCAACAGAAGCTTACTTTCAAAACCAAATTTCTACGCAAGCTCAAGAAGAACTAGAAAAATATTTTTGTTGAACAAATAAATACTTTAATCATCAATGGGTACAGTTGCGTCAACAGTTTTAGGTTAGGATCCACAGAATTGCAGCTGGAACTAACCGATAACAGTTTTGTTTTAATAAAAAAGAATTATTTGAGTTACAACTAAAAAGCAGTTCCTTCACGCAATATAGTTTCTATTTCCCAGCAGTCAGTTCAAGATTTATCAAATATTGGTACAGTTGCTTCAGTAGCTATTTGAATCGCTAACGATATGCCATTTTCTGATGAGTAAACAATAAATTGGCGCAGCAATCTATAAAATCAAATAATAGTTCCCAAATAGTTTGTAAATAGTTTCATTTGTTTCGTTGGACTCTGTTCTATTCTCCACTCATTTAACTGCGTATGTACAGTTATCTACTGGCACAGCAATGGCAGCATTATACCGGTATTCGGCTCAGCTCAAGTGTCATGCCACATGTGTCTTGGCTTGCCAAAGAGACAACAAATTGCCACCCTTAGCTGCTTAACAAACCCTGACACAAACACACTCGCCTCCCTCCCTCTCTCCCTCCTATTCGCCATGCTAATTGCGTTTATTTAACAAAACAAATTTTTTACTTCTATGTTTTTTGTTGTTGTGTATTTTGTTTTGTTTTCTTCGTCTTCGGGCTTCTGGTCTTCTCGTCTTCTGCTGCAAAAATAAATAAATATATATATGTATGTGTGTATGTGTACAAAAAAAAGGGTGACTCAATTGAGTTTGCCAGCATTTAGCAATTAGACAGCATGTGGCAGGAGAAGATAAGGTGTCTATGTGTGTGCATGTGTACGTATGTGTGTGTGTGTTGGCAACAAATTTTTATGCAATTAATTTGAGTCGTCATCCAACGACGACGCTTCGTCTTGTCATGTCTCAGGCTCAAGGCTCAAGTTTTTCTTCAACTGACAGGGTTGTTGCTGCAGACAACCACGCCTCCTCCTGCTGCCGCCACCAAACCCCTGCTCCACGATATATGCTCGTATGCTAATGAAAAATCGAACACGCACAGCTCCCAACCCTTTCGCCCCACTTCCCCGCCCTGCCTTGGACGTATGCCCGCCTTTTGATTGATAATAGAATTAACTGCTTGCTTGCCTGCCGCCTTTCTAGCTGCTTAACATTTTTTGGCATGACAATAAAGCAGGGGAACCCCACCTCCACACATACACACAAGCGCACACATGTTGTTTATGCGTTTTTAATGTCAATTAAGTATTATTGCATTGGTAACATGTGTAGCAGACCTCATATTTCATGGCCAATAAAAATCATAATCCAAATATGGGCGCACTACCTTGACTCGACTCGACTCGACTCAACTTGACTTCAGTTATAGTTTCTGGTTTTATTGATAAAATATGCGAGGTTTCCCTATGTATGTATATACATATATATTTTTAGCATATACATTGTCGTCGATTAATTTTCCAATCGACTTGCTCACATGTCCCGAACATGCTGGGTCGCATACAAATAACAAAATGACACGCAAAATTGTAGTTAGAATTATGTTGATTAGTTGATGCCATAGTTGATTTGCATGGCAAGACAGCGAGGGTCGCAAAAACACATAAATTTATACTCTACTATGCCCGCATATATCGGCATGATTTCGATTTTTCCTTTATTATTATTTTCTTTGGTTTTTTTTGGTTTTGTTTTGTTATCAAGTTTTTGCCTTTTTGGCAACTTTTGTGTGTTGTTGTGCACACATTCTTCCATTTACGTCAATTAAAAACCGCGCCATAAAATTTATTTTAATCACATAATAACAAATACACACACACACACACACACACACACACAAGCACACACCTGTCAGACAGAGGTTGTTGTCATTAAAAAATTTTGTTGCATACTGCGCGGCGCTGCCAAAAACTTTGCCTTGTCAACTTTTGTGTGAGTCGGTGTGTGTGTGTGTGTGTGTGAGTGTGCGGGGCGTGCGCGCACACACATGCACACATGAGAGAGCCTGACATGGCGTTGTCGACGCACTTAAGAAAAATTCCCTTGTCAAATTTGCCAATTATCATATTTTCATCAAACAAACAAAGTTCGGAAAACTCGAACCCAGCGTTCTTTGCCGCTCTACCTACCTATCTACCTACCTACCTGACGACGACGACGACGACGACGCGTCTCTGTCTGTGGCTGTCTCTGTGTCTCATGCTAGCGGCGGGGGCGAGGGTGGTTGCGACTATGGCTGTGGCAGTGGCTGTGGCACTGCGTACCAACAATGTATGCCACATCAGTCGCTGGCAATCAGAGCCGCCGTTGTGGCAAAGCCAGCGTCGTTGTTAATTTTATTAAAAATTATTTTATAACTCTCGAACTTTCACACACACACATACACATACATCAGAGCAGACAGACACATGTTAGCATTGTTGTTGTTTAATTATTGATGTGCACAATTACAAAAATGGCAGCAGCAACAACAACGCGAATGCAACTGAAAAGTTTTTTGGCAAAGTAGTGCCCAACCGACTAACTGACGAACTGACGAACTGCCTGACTGAAGCACTAATATGCATAAAGCTTGGCATAAAACCGCAACAAACACAACAACAACAAAACAAACACTGCACTGTCTTATTGGAAAATTCATTTGCAGCTGGCCCTACCTATAAGCTACAGAGAATTCTTATTTAAATCATAAGCATCGCCATTAGTTGCTCTTTAAATGAGCAGCACATATCCGTACTATACTTGTATTAGATCTTTTGTTTAATCGCCCTAATCACATCGAACTCCATCTTCTATTTTGTTGCAGATTAAAGCACTTTTGGATGAGTTGCAACGCCTGCGCGCACTCGAACAAACCCATCTGGTACAAATCCAACGCCTTGAGGAGCATCTGGAGGTGAAACGTCAGCATATAATGCGCTTGGAGGCGCGTCTGGATAAGCAGCAAATCAATGAGGCATTGGCCGAGGCCACAGCGCTAGCAGCTGCCGTTGCTGCCACAAATAATAATAACAACAACAACAATAACAATAGCAGCAACAACAATGTTGATGGAGCACCAGACAACCAGGTTAACAACGATTTGGCCGTAGTATCCAAATCATCTGAGCTACCAACCGAAGACAACGATGCCCACATGATCGATGAGGATGAGGACGAGGAGGACGACAATGCCCTCAATGAGCTGCACAGTGAGCAGCAACGGGAACAGGTGCCGCAAACCGAGGACGACGCCGATATGTTGAGTGTGGCACATGGAACGGACAGCAACAGCGAGATGAAAATCAAAAAGGAGCACCAGTAAGTCAAAGAGTTCTTATAGCACTTAACAATTGTAATACTTAGAAATGATTTCAACAACCATTTGTGTGCTTTGCTTCTGCTTTTTCATTTCAACAGCAGTCCCCTGGATCTGAATGTGCTCAGTCCACAGTCGGCGATTGCCGCTGCAGCAGCAGCTGCCGCCGCAGCCGCCTGCGCCAACGATCCCAACAAATTCCAAGCGCTATTGCTCGAACGCACCAAGGCCCTGGCCGCTGAGGCGCTCAAGAATGGCGCCGCCAACGAGACCGGAGTCGTTGCCAGCGAAGGTGAGTAGAAAAGGCACAGACTGTACTTTCGCAAGCAACCCTGCGATTGAGTTATCGATTTGACTTTGAACTTTGGACTGCCTATCGGACTATCAATCTAAATTTTGACTCGAATCTAAGCCGACTTCAAGGCTGTACTTTAACTACAACTTTGACAGCTTTTTATTGAACTTTTGGATGCACCATTGCCTGATTATGTACGTTTAACTGCACCTATAGCTCTAGCTTTGGCATATCCGTTGACTGTACATTTTTCAATTTGGAACAGTTATATATCTGTTTGTCTTTAATCACAATTCTTGTTTGACTTTGGAATATCTCGATGACTGTACTGCACTGTACTGTACTGTACTGTAATGCTGGCGCCGGCACTGTGTGTGTAGACTATTGTTATTCTTGCTCGATTTGATTGTTTATCAATCGGGCGCAGACTTGGTTGGAGACACTTTTATCGTTTATTTAACAGCCATACAATATATTATTGGCAGCTTAATGCGAACGAACGGCGCCAATTTTTATGACTCTGTCAACAGACAACAACGGCAAGAAATGTAAATAGCGCCAAGACGTAGAGACTACACACATATCGTTGTACATTTAATCAGACCTGACTGAATTGTAGGTGGACGTACAGAGCGACATTATTACACCTATATATTTGCATTTAAAGTCAAGATTTTGTTGTTCTTGTCCGTTGTTGTTGTTGTTGTTGTATTGCGTTACACTTTGAGTTGCTGCATGTTTATCGATAAATACAAAAAAAAAAAAAAACAGAAACAGAAACAGAAGAAAAGAAAAGAGCAATCAAGCACCAACAGACGACACAACAAGCCTCGCGATCGTGTGCTCCTATCTCTCTTTCTCTCTCTCTCTCTATCCCACTCTTCCACTCAACCTCTTTCTCGCTCTCTCCACATATATATATATATCAATATATATATATATATATATATTTATGTATTTCTTTTGCTACGTTACTTGCGCTCTCTATTTATCTATGGCGCCCACAATACACTTAATATACTTACATACTTTGTTGTTTTGTTGTTGTACGAATTGGCAAAGAGCAAGAAACCAGAAAAAACAAACATGTGCTAATATTATATTGCATTGAGCTATCGAAAACAAAAACAAAAAACAAAACCAAACAAATCTATCGAAAAACGAAACAAAATTTTGATTCATTTTTGGCGTTTTGTTCCATGGATGTTGTTGATCAAATCAATAATAATAATAATAATAAAAATCAAAAACAATTTATGATATGAACCATAGCTATAGCAAGAACAACAACAAAAAAAGCACAATTTTTTGTTGTTTCCGCAGAGCTGCCGCATCAAGAAGCTGCCGCAGATGCAGTAAAGCCACAAGATGATGAAGATGATGATGAAGATGAAGAAGCAGAAGCTGCTACAAGCGAAACAGAAACAGAAACGCGTGAGAAAGAAACAGTTGTAGGGAACAGAAACAGCAACACTCCAGTGCTGCCGAAAATCGAAATCGAAGATCTCGCCGATGATGTAGAAGAGGGTGTAGGGGCAGTCGATGTGGCGTCCGAGGTGAAGCCGCAAGCGGCATCGTCGTTGTTGTCGTCACCACAACCACCGCCACCACCGCCGCCGCCACCACCGCCACAACCACCATTGCAGGCTACCAGAACGCCATCGCCGTACGATGCGCTAACACTGGAAGAGCAGCTGGTCAATAGCTATTGGCGGCGTGGCTTTGAAACGTCCAGCAAAACGCCAACATTGTATCAAAATGCCAATGCGCCACAACAACAACAACAACAACAACAACAGTTAGCTGTACAACAGGGGCAGCTGCTGCCACCGCCGCCGCCTCCACCACCCGCTGCAGCAGCGCACTTTGCAACGCAACAGCAACAACAACACTACCACCACCACCACCACCATCACCAACAACAGCAGCAGCAGCATGGACCCTCGTCCACAGCACTGCTTAGTCAATTGGTTAACTCAACATTCTCACATTCCAACAATTCCAACAATTCTTCCATTTCTTCTTCTACTTCTTGTTCCAATTCCAAAAATCCATTGCGCTGCCTAGACGGTCTCTCCTCGCATCATCAGCATCCACAGCAGCAACAGCAGCAGCCACATCATCATCACCAACAGCAGTCGCACCACCTTGCCTCGTCGCTGCACCACAGCAGCAGCAACAGCAGCAGCAGCGGCGTCGGCGGCCCCGCCACCAACAATGCTCCATCCAGCAACAACAATAATAACAACAACAATAGCATTAATATCAAAAACGAAGAGCAACACAAGCTGGCCCTCAACCATCACCAGCAACACCAGCAGCACCATCATCACGCCCTGGCGGCTGCCGCTGCTGCCCACCATGCGGCGACCCACCATCTGCACGACTCCAACTCCTCCAGCGCCAATAGTACACCGAATGCGCCCAGCAGTGGTGCCGCTGCCGCTCAGCTAGCCGCCAGCATTGCGTCAACGCTGAATGGCAACAAATCGTTGCTGCAAGCAGCTGCTGCCGCCAATGCTGCGGCCGCTGCTGTCGCCGTTGCCGAAGACAACAACAATAGCTTGACACCCAATGCGAATGCGGCGGCTGCCGCGGCAGCAATGGCTGCGCATGCCCAACACGCTCATGCCTTAGGCGCCCCCGGATTCTTGCCCAGCCTGCCGTTTCAGTTTGCCGCCGCAGCGGCTGCCGGCCAAGAGGCGCGCGGCCATTATCGTTTCGCTGATGCGGAACTGCAATTGCCGCCCGGCGCTTCGATGGCCGGCCGCTTGGGTGAGTCACTGATACCCAAGGGTGATCCCATGGAGGCCAAATTGCAGGAGATGCTGCGCTACAACATGGACAAATATGCGAACCAGGCTTTGGACACATTGCACATCTCGCGCCGTGTCCGGGAATTGCTATCCGTGCACAATATCGGACAGCGATTGTTTGCCAAATACATTTTGGGACTATCACAGGGCACGGTATCCGAGCTGCTTAGCAAGCCCAAGCCCTGGGATAAGCTCACCGAGAAGGGACGTGACAGCTATCGCAAAATGCACGCCTGGGCCTGTGATGATAATGCGGTGATGCTCCTCAAATCGCTCATACCCAAGAAAGGTAAGTCCCGCTATACCTAACTACCTATGTACCTACATACATACATATGTATATGCATATCGCTTTTCTTTTTTCTATTAACTTTTTTTTTTGCTTAACTGTTAGCAATAGTGTTGGGTTGGGAGGGGGGTGGAGGGACTGTCGACACGGCTGACAAGCTTATCAGCTTGTACGCAGCCAAGGTCTGGCTCACCTGTAATAGTCTCGGGTATTGAAAAGAACGCTCTTCAACTGCATTGCCGAGCAGAGAAAAGTTTTGACAGGTTCATAACATGCATCGTGTAGCCACACTTCATTCAATGGCAGACGCCGCAAAGCTGCTTGCTATGACACATTTTGTGTGCAGTGCTGCAAAACTTTTTAATAAAAGTCAAAAAAGGGGACTTACATAAGTCAAAAAAAAAATAAGAAAAAGAAAAAATTGTAAAGCCACAATGTTTAAATATGAGATTTAAAAAATGCACTAATGAAGAAAGTACTAGTGTTAAAAGAGTGTTGTAAAATTGCCGCTTCAGATATTAGAATCAGAAACCGAGCCAGAAACAGAAGAGACACATTTAAATGGGGGTGGCGATAGAAATGGGGGCACGAGCTCGACGAACAATGCAAAGTTGTGCAGAACTTCAAAAGCAAAATACTCAGAAATTCAATCAGACAGACAGACAGACAGACGGACGGACGGACAGACACACAGCCAGGCAGTCAGACAGAAAGACAGACAGTGAGCGAGTGAGGCAGTCATTTAGTGAGTTGGTCATTTTGTCAGACAAGTCGTTCGCTCTTTTCGGCCTATGGCGTTTTTCATTTCTTTTGGCTTGCGGCCAAAACATTAAATTGTAAAATTTTAATTATTTTTGATTTTTGCGTATAATCAACGTGCCAACAACAACTCTACAAAAACAACAGCAACAGCAATAGCAAGAACAACAACGACTGCGACAGCGACTGCGACTGCGACAGATACAACAACAACGACGATGAGAAGCGGCCGTTGCATTTCGAGCGGCCATTTGCCTGTCGCCATAAATTTCGGCAAATTCGCACATTAGGCGTGAAAATGCACGGGAATTTTATGCAGACCATATACTAGCATACTAGCACAAAGCCAAGGGGGTGCGGACGGGGGGCAGGACGAGTATGGGTGCAACAATTAGACAAATGCGGCAGGCCAGCAGCGACAGTCGCCGGCGACAGCCGCCTCAGACAATCGATAAAAAATTGTGCGACCGAAAAACTGAAACTGAACTTCATAAAAAAATCATGCGAGATCGTTGTAAGGCGATAAGAATGTTTTTTCTTGTTTTCTACACTGTTACCAAAAGGGGGACAGCTCTTTATGTATAATTTGCATTTAATCAGCACACATGTTGTTAGCCATAATTGCTGTTGTTGCTAACGACCTCAGAAGTCAATTGTAAAACATAGATGGATGCACTAATCGAGTCTAGGCGATTACATGTTATTGTGATTTGCATTGTAAGTTGAAGTCTTTTAAAATATTATATCCTGCGTCTTCTACATTTCTTTTCTTTTCCACAAGAATTTCAACATTTTTTTTGTTGATCACAAGAAACTTTAAAAGCTTCGGTGTAGCGAGTGTTTTAATGCTCTGTTTGTTTATTGATTTTTATTAGTCATTAATTTTATGCGCGATACAAAGGAACAGCAACAACAACAAAAACAACAGCAAGGGCTATAACTAACATGCTACAGTGTTAAATACCAATGTATGACTTTTAAAATGGAATACAATTTTCAAATTTTAATTTCAAACATTAAAAGCAAAAGTGGAAAGAAAATAAGAGCGATATTCAAAAAAGTCAACATATAAGCAGAAAAACAATTATTTAATGAAACATTATTAATATTTGTAGCGAAAGAAAACGAAAAACATAATTTAGCCAAATAAAAGTAATTAAAACTAATTTTAGAAAACATTGGGAACATTATTTGAAATAGTTAGAGTCTAGTAGACTACTAGATAATATCTAGGAGCATTGCAGATTTGCAACAGCATCGTTTCGACCGCCTGCTAGCAGATAGATTACATGTGTACTCTTTCGAAATTTTTTTACAACTGTAATACAAGTATATACGAGAGTTTTTTTTTAAAAAAGTAAATTAATTTGTCACTAGCAATGAAGACTGTAAGCAAGTATGCCAGTAAATAAAGCAACGAATATGTCAATGTGGGAAAGTATTTTTAAAGTGCGCCCGCCCGCTGCCTTTGTTAACAATGTGCAGCACGCTTTTAGGCGCAGACACGCAAAACCAACACACACGCATGGACACAATCACACACACACACACACACATTCCTGAAGCTAAAGCAAGCGATACGATGAACAACTTCGAAGTTAATCAAAGTTTTTGCGTTTTGCTTTGTTTGCCTTGCACATGTGTGTGCGTGTGTGTGTGTGTCTGAGTGTGTGTGTGTCTGCGTGTGTGTGTGTGTGTGTGTGTGTGTGTATCTAAGTGCATGCAAATGTTGACAATTAATTTATGACGATTACTCATGGCAGGCTAAACTTAATGTTTATAGAGCGCCCCAAGCCCACTTGACTAGCGGATTTTTATTTTTCTACACACAATACCGATTGAGCAGCAGTTCAGCGATATATGTTTGTATGTATACATGTGCTCGTATGCATGGGTGTGTGTGTAGTTGTAGGGCTCTTAATTATATGCAAATATTGATAAATGCTTGCGTACCTTAAACTACATATATTACTGTTTTTTCCATTCAAAATCATGTCAAAAAAAGGTCCAAAAAATATTTCGCATTTGAATCCGTAAAGGGATGCCTGTTGCCAAATTTCAATGATTTCATAATTTTAATCACATGAAATGTATGGAAAGGAATAAAACACCAAGTTTATATTCTCCACAGTCCACTTCATCTTCAGATGCAGTTTTCTCAGTTTTCTAATACTCAGATCTGTTCTACTATAGTTCTCGCAAACACCATAAACAGAATCAAAATTGATTCCTAGTTCCAAAAAAAAAAAAAAAAAAAACACTCTTATGAATTACGATTTGTTCGACATCGAAATAGGGAACAGACTTTTGCAGCAAACCCCCTCTCTGATATCACAATTTATTCCACACTATGGTATATCACCAATAGAACTGTGCCATAGCTAAGATTCTATATAAAATTATTTCGAAAATTTGAAGAGTATCCCATAGTCAATAGCCAGTGCCAGTGGCATTTTCGCCATTTATCTTTGTCTGCCGCATGCCTAGAATACTTGAGGCAAAGGGTCAGCTAAAATGTGTAGCAAGGAGTGCACGGAGAGCAACAACAGCAACAGCAATAGCAACAACAACAACAAAAACTGCGTCAACTTTTCACACAGTTTGAAGTCAATTGAACACAAGAAGGTGGAAAGAGGCTTAGGAGAGCAGTAAATGAGTGGGAGAGAGGCCAAAAGTCAAGCGAGCAAAAGCAAAATTGTTATGCAACAGCAACAGCAGCAGAAGCAACAACAAATAATTTGTTGTTGTTGTTGTTGTTGGGCCATCTACTTTGAAGTCATTGTGAAAAAAAGTTAAGCCAGGAGGAGCGGCTTCATGGCAGGCGCCGGCCGGTGAGGAAAGCAGTGAGTGGAGGTGGAAGTGGAACTGGAACTGGGAGTGGGAATGGGAATGGAACGCAACCGACTGAGCCGCTTCACAGCGCGTCAATGATTTTTGAATTGTAATTGTTTAAAGCGCGCTATGAGGTGGTGGTGGGGGGAAAAGGAGAGAACGGTGAATGGTTGGGGTGGGGGGCGGCTTGACGCGACTGCCGTGACAATTGGTCTGTGAAAGGCTTGAAAGCAGCAACAGCAACAGCAACAACAACAACAGCGGCCGCAGCAGCAGCAGCACAAAATGTGAAGTTGAATTAAATGTAAACAACAACAACAGAATGCAACTGCTGACGTCAACGAGGCATGCAAAAAACGTTGAACGTTGCAGCTTTTGAAGTCAGCTTTGTGGCAATGACGACGACGCCAACGACTGGATTGTTGAATTGTGGGTTAGAGTGTTGCCCATCGGCTTGGGGTTGGTGTTCGGGTTGGTGTTGGTGTTGGGATTGGGATTGGGGTTGGTAGCAGCAAAAACTTTTTAGTTATTTGATTTTATTTATTTTCGTTGTTGTTGTTTTTGCTGTTTTTATTCAGTTGGTGTTCTTAAACATTTAACAACAAATGTTGCATATTAAGTGGCATCGCCTCGTCAGCATCATGAGTGAGAACAACAACAACAAATTTGCCATTTAATGAAGAGTTCCATTAAATACTCTAAGCTAAATACTATAGTTGACAACTTTTCGGCAGGCTCAACCACTGATCTATTTATTTTTGAAGGAGCTTAGAGCATTGCCCAGCTAATTATTAACTAATATCGCTCTCTTCACACGATATAGTGTTATTTTTTAGGCTTTGAATGCCAAACATGGTATAGATCCACTTTCTCTCAATTAAAGATTTATAAACATTTAGAATTCGAAAGCGCGCACACAATTTCATGCACTATTTGGACTTTTTTACAGACATTCTAAGACTTTTTTCGAAAATTGCAAACTTTTTCAATTGTTGCTTTTGGCATATTAGAAAGTTATAAGCGTTTTTTCCCTAAGTGGTGGCTAGACTCCAAGCTCAACTTAAGTGTTGTAAAACGTCTGTGCCGTTGCCAGTGCTTTAAACTGGCCAACAACAATGTAAACTTGTGCCGTCGCACGCTGCGTATACGCAACAGCAAATATTTTTGGGCTTGGCCGCATTACAAAACAACAACAGCAACAATAATGGGAGGGGTGGCAAGCGGCCGGGCAGGCAGGCAGACAGGCAGGCAGGCAATCGGGCCAAACGGTCGCACGTTATAGCAGCTAATAATACATACTAGCATATTAACACATAATTCTAGCAGACGTCGTCCATTTGTTTTAGCCGGCAAAATAGTGTGCAAGCTTAAGTGTGCGTGTGCGTGTATGTGTGTGAGTGTGTGTGTGT